TAAGAATTTTATTTAATCATTGATGAAAAGTGGAAAAATTCAAAACCAATTTTTGTGGCTTTTCATCGACAGACAATTTTTAGTTTGATTTGATAAAAAGAGACGTGGTTTATCAAAGCCACTATCATACGCAGTATGTAACAAGTGATTAGTTGATTTTGTTTTTTTTTTTAATCAGGCAAAGATCTGTTCGCTGAGAAGGTCATACACTCATATCTCGCTCATCAGGTGGGTTTCAATATCATTTTTGATTCGTTTCACTGACACTTCATGTTCACAATGTTTGCGATACAGTTTTTAGCAAAATTCGTGCACACACAGCAAATGAATGAAATTGCAATACGTCATGCGGTGGTGTGAACATGTGTGTTTACGTTTTTCTCAGCGAGACAGAGAGAGAAAGAGAGAGAGAGAGAGAGAAATTTTGTTGGTGAATTCATGGCTGTCATCAACACACAAAAATACACTGACTGAGTGCTACGGCCTGATATGCACGTACGTCGAACACACAAACGCACGTCAACAAACGACCAAATACGCACGAATGAGAGAGAGAGAGGAGGTAAACACACAATTAAAATGAAAACATAATCAAAACGTCATTATACAGCCAAAACAGTCAGTCGATCGACTTTCTTCACGATTCAAACACAAAGTGATCATTTTTATTTTCCTTTTATTTTCTTCTGTTTTGTGGATGAATGTTTGGAATTGGACAATTAACAGTGACTGGAGAGAGTTTCGGTGGTGATCGCAATGGCTCATCGGTTGGATTCTCGATAAAAGGTAGTATCGACAGGTATTTGCAAAGGTTTTTTTTTCATTAGTTTTTAAATAAAGACAAACAAATCAAACTCAAATGACCTCTTTATGAGCGGTGAATAGAACCAATCGAATTTTTCCCCTGAAGCAATGAAATAAACATCAAATTCATTCTTCAAATGGAGTTAATTGTATTTGGTGCGAATTTTTGCTTCAGTTGTGTTCCACTATTTTAGTTTGCTCAATTTGACCTTTTTTGGACGAATTGATGCAATTAAAGTGCACTTTTTTTTTCGTTCATGAGAAATGAGTCGAACTGTCAAGTCGACCAAGGTAAGTATCAGTTTGGTTTTCAATACTTTTGTTCCAATTGGATTTTCAGTAAAAAACCTCTTTTATGATGATTAAATAAAGAATAGCGAAAATTGTGTGTTGATTTAATAAAGAATTGCAATAATTTTGTGTTGATTTTTAGAAAATTGATTTTATAAGATTGACTTGAGAAAATATTAAGTCATGAATATTGATTAAAAATTATTTCAAGAAAAAATTGATTGAATAAAGAAAAATCTACAGCAAAATTCTATACAAATCTTAGAAAAAGGTGTAAAAACAGCAAATTCCGTTGAAGAGTCTTTGACACTGCATTTTCATCGGAGTAATTTGGAGTTCCATAGAGCAAAGGACTGGATATTTCTGTGTGTCAGCCACTAAATTCTTAGGAAATCAGGAGATTTCATACATTTTGCATCGATTTTCTTTTGTTTTAGTCAAGGAAATAGCAAATTTTCATCAATTTTTCGTTTATTCACTACTTATGGTAAGTGTAGGTAGTATGAAGCTTGAGTCATTTGCATGGAAATGAACGGAATAATTGTGTGTTAATACTAAAAATAACGAAAATCCCCATAAATTTATAATTTTCCACATGATTTGGTTTTTACTCCAGAAAAGCAGGCATTTACTTTAAATTTCATAAAAGATCCATTAGACAGGGCGAAATAAATTTTTTATAAAGAATTAAATAGTCCAATTCAAATGTACAAAACGTTACATTTCCTAGCAACTGAATGCTTCTGTGACAGGAGCCAAAATAAAAGAATGTTACCATGGCCTACAAAAATTATTATTACCAATTTCAAACAAAATACATGCAATAAATAAAGAGAAAAAATTCATTTGCATCGGCTATTTCATGGAATCGAATGGAAATGGTTAATTTTCGGTTTTTTTTTTCAATTCGATTTCATGCATCGTTTGTGCCTTCGTTTTATTATTATTGTTCATTTGTGTTTATATGCTGTACCCTTTGTTGACGGCAAAAATTCAAACTGTCATTTTATATGTCAAGTTTATCGCGCATAATAAGAGTGTAGTTGGATCGAGGCGACAGAGCGGTTGGTAAGTTTATTGTTCTGTTTATGCGATTAAAACGAAAGCGAATTTTATTAAAAAGAATTTCTGAAAATAAAATCCGTTTTGAAAAATAAAATTTATTTGACAAAGGAAAAAAAGTAAAATACTCGCTTCAGAAACGTACTTTCATTCAAGCGATTGTCAATAATTTCCTTAAAACATTCATTCCAACCCTTGTTTCAAATACGATTTTCCAAAAACATAACAAATCAATTTCTTTACAACAAAATTGTGCGTGTTAATTCGGAAAAAAGTCCAATAAACTAGGTCAAACTCCATCAAATTCCGTCTGACAATGAACTAAATTTTAATGAGGCTACGGTCTCAATGCTTCAAACGCACAGTGTAAAGCATCAAACATTTCGTTGACAGATGAAAACTGTTCCAAACATTGCAATTTTTTCTGATTCATCCGCAATATTTTTTTTTCACAGAATTTTAAATACATTTTTAATATTCAATTCATGATCGAAAGAATCATCGGTGATTTTATTCAATTACAATGGAAATGTTGATTTTCGGCATAAAAATTGATTGTGTACACTGTTGAATTAGGTAAACAAATCATATGTTGCATTGTGTGTTTATATCGCATCTTCCACCTATCGCACGTCGAAATGTCTCGGTCGGTTGTCAGTACTTGTTCAGCATTGTTGAAAGAAGGTGTTCAATTGAGAGCAGCCTGTTTGGTAAGTCAATTAAAACTCATTGAATCCATCCAGATTATGATGGGAAACAAATCCGTAAGAATTTAATTGTAAAACATATTTTTTGCTAAAAAAAAATTACTTGAAATCGTTTCATTGCGAGCTTTTTGAAGGATGTAATTTTTGTGCTATACAACTTTCGGTTGTGTCAAAAAAAGAAAACTGTCATTGGTGTGTTTTTTTTTCTTCATTCGGCAGCACAACGATGGCCAATTCAATTTGGAGCAGAAAATTTACATTTTTAAAGAAAAGAAAAAAATATCGAAATTTCAAAAGAATTTTTCCAAATTCGTCAAGTCACCAATTTGACACGGGATCATAATTCGATTTTGACTCTAACAAATTGGAACTGGCACACTGAGGAGGTGGACAAAATCTGGAATCACTTGCTTAACAGCCAAACAGATTTGGAATTAGCTGAGCCAATCGCTGGATTTGCAATCATAAGGTAGGAAAGCGACGAGCTGGTAATAAAATTTAATATTTTTTGTCGTTTTTATTTTAAATAATAATTTGGTTGTCATTCTGTGAGGAATTGCACATTGGGTTAATTTGCTTCATTTATTTCTGAATTTTGACGAGCGATAGAGAATCAATTGAAAATCAAATACATTCAGTCTTTCCGAATACATTTTTTCATGATCCAGGCACATTTCATTGAATGAAATACCCTTCCAATCACTCGGCATTAGAATTCACTTGAATTTTGTCAAACTTCATTCAATAAGCACTGCCATTGACTGAGTCAATTGCATGCATTTCAATAAAAATTCCGATTTATTCGATTTTGTCCCCGATTTTATTCATTTTTCTTCTGAAATTGTCTTCTCCAAATATTCAAAAATCTCCTTCAACTAAACCGTCTCTCAATTGACAGCACGGCTTAATTCACCACCTGAACTAGTGACTTTTACATGGAATTAAAAAAAATTCAAAGACAATACAACTGAAAAATGTCATGCTTTCCAAAAATGTTTGACATTGTTCTTGATGAAACCAAAGGAAATCAATATATTTCACGAAAAGACCTTGATGTGATCTGAATTTGCAAAATTATTTTTTATTGAGACCAAAAGTAATGTCGATGACTTGAGCTGTCAATTCGCTGAACAAATATATGGAATCTGAGATCTATTCTAAAAAAAACAGTCCTATCAGACCGTCAACAATCCAAGGCAACGCCAGTTTCTTGTAATAATCTCGTCTTTAGTCGAACATTTTCTGGAAAATATTCCTTTCATTGATTTCATTCTCATAAAGATGTTGGTGTTCAATCCCGGTGACTGTGTCAGAGTCAATTAGTCATCGAGTGCCAAATATGAAACGAAAAATTAATTGTCAAAATGCCAATCATTATCCATTCAATTAAAATCACATCAAATACTTATATCAGTAATTTTTGTACATTGGCATAATTTTGCAGCCTAACGGCTGCCTCAAAATCTAATATTCCGAATGAATATTTCAAGTGAATAGCTTTCGATGTTGTCAGAGTCCATCTGAACTGTCAAAATTGAAAGATGAGAAAATTCCACGGAATTCCCATTCAAAGACTCCGGTTTACTATTTCCATGCAATTTCATAGCAAATCCGCTCGAAACATCAATTTCAAAATGAGAATAATTCAAAAATCCATTGAATCGCATTCGATGCATTTGAAAAATTCGTTCGGTATTATTTGTTTGACAGATGAAAATGGTTTACAAAAAGTCCGCGTTCACAGTGCTCGTGGTGGTGGGTATTGTTGTTTCAGAAGTCAGAATGTCGTTGTAATCGCTGACAAGATAAAAACAGAGTTATGCCATAGCTCAATCAGATGGAGTTACTGTGTACGAAATGACTTTACGTAATGAAAAAAATGTTGAAGCAAAGGAATGTATATTCAACGAGGATTTGCAATTCCAATTTAGTTTTGTGTGCAATTTACGCAGAAGTACAAATAGAAAAGGAATCCAATTTCAAAACTTGAATTTTGTGAATTGAAATTAAATTGAATTGAATTTTAAATTGCAGATGGATTGCAGGCGATGCATAGAATTTTCAGGTGAGAACCGTAAAAAAATCAAGCCGAACATTTTTTTAATTCATTTTTAGGTGTGGAAAAAATGAACATTTGAATATGGTGCGATTCATCGTTTCACAGCAAAATGAGTAAGTGAAGAGAAAAAAATGTGTTCAACCGAGAGAACAAAAGAAAAAAATCGAAAAGACGCGCTTCGTAACGCGTTGAGCTGCCATCTCGCAAGCATCGACGACACAAAACCATTGCAAATCGTTCACACATTCGCACAAACGCCACATTGCCAACGTAAAAGCAATGAAGCGGCTCAGCCAAATACGTTCATGTTGTTGTTTTTTTTTCTTGTTCATTCGTTTCGTCTCTGTCCGTGTGTTCGGGTACGAATGAGAAGAAAATGCGCATCGAAGATACAAAATGGATGGCGTGATCTGGTGTAAAATTGCTGAAAACGAACTAAAAATCACACCAATACACACATACACGCGCGCGCGTTACATCGAATGGCAAACAAACACGTATGTGCGCTCTCTTGTGTGTATATTGCTCCCTGCGACCAAGTGAAAAATAAAAACCAAATGAGCATTCAAACTCAATGAGAACATGAGGAAAACAGTCTCCATTCAGTTTGAAGAAACGACGCAATAAATAAGTTTGCTGTAAGACCCAACTGGAAAGAGTTTTGAAATGCGTCGTTTTGTAGTATTGAGTCGAAAAAAAATGCGTTTTTGGTGTCGCGTTGAATGCGTACTACGTGTATGTTGGATATGAAAATGGCGCGCATTGAATAGCCGATCTCTCTCCAATTTGATTCACTTTCGAATGCATGCATCTCTGTCTGGCTCACGGTGTGTTTCGAGGTCGCTGTGATACAGTTTTCGTGCACACACGGTTCGGTTGCTGGTGCTGCTGTACGTACGCATACAATCGACTCAAAAGATACCTGCATACATAAGCATATACAGTGGCGAATAGAGGCTCTCAATATGATACACGGAGAGTCACAGGCAACACAAACTCAACGACCGAATTAAAACACATGGACACAAATGAATGTAGCAAAACATGAACGCACGGAACAATTTTTCGTTCGTTTGTTCTACTCTATGAAACGCGTACATTGCGCGCGCTACACGCACACCATTACATCAGTACCTCCGTTCGGAGTTCGTAGTCAGTGACTACGTGCCCGCACATCGTTACCTCTCACTCAACATCACCAGCATTCGTCTTGCTCGCACTCGTTCAGCCGCAGCAATTTTTAGCTCCGATGCATGCATGCGAAAGTAGCAGCAACAACAACGACAACGCCATCGAACGACCGAATGAGAGAGACGAGGAGAAAAGAAGAATAAAAAAACAACCACACCAGCAGCGCTGCTGTGTGACCGTAGTGAGTGAGGAATTGTTGGCCGCCATTGTTGAAAAATTTTTCGTTTGCGCGAGACACACTCAGGCATTACACACAGGAAAAAAAAACGACGAATGGATTTTGTGCGTTGTGTCGAAATCAAAAAAAGAACAAAATAGACTCAGTTTCATGTTTTGTGTGTGAATTTCATCATCAAATTTTTTTTCACCAAATTTTATCCGTGAGAAAAAAAAAGGGAATTTTAGTGCAAAAACAATCGAAATGTGTATAATCGAAAGAGAGTGAAAAGAAGACGAAGAGAAAAAAAAAAGAAGAAGAAAGAAAAAACGTAGTGTGTGGTTATTGAGAAAAAAAAAAGTGTATAATAAAACGGCAGCGACGTCACAGGAATAAAAGCAGCCAAAAGAACGAGTTGAATTGTGAGTTTTAAAACAAAGTGAATCCAATATTTCGAACAAAAACCGATAGAAGAGTAGAAAAAAAAACAACAAAAACAGCAACATTTCCCTCGGTACGGGACAAACCAAAAGGTGTGAACCTCTCTCAGTTGTGCATATATAGAACGGAATAGATAGCAAAATAAGAGTTTTTTTCCTCCTCTCTCGATACTGCTCTGCCAGTCGTTGTTGTTTTTGTTGTTGTTAATTGTATTTGTATGCATATTGTTGCTACTAAAGTAACCACTTAGTCAATTAAAGCCACTGATTTTCGGTTCGATGTGATCTGATCCGATGAATTCAATTGCAAATGTACGGAATAAAAGGAAAAAAATTATGCTGCTCATTTTATTTTCAAATTTCGAGTCAAGAAAATGTGTGTTTGATCAAATTTCCGAATGACGACTATGTGTGCGAGTGTGAGCGAGAGCGAACGTGTGTAAAAAAGGAATGAGATAGAGCAAGCATTTAGAACGTATTGACGACGACGACGACGACGGCGGCCACTACAGCGACATATGATGAAAATTAAATTATACGCGTATACATGAAGCACTAGTTTTTTTTTTTCGTTCATTCGTTCACCCGTCTTCATTTCTCGTTCAATATTGTTGGCTCATTCGGTGCGAGTGTGCATGTGGATGTATATGGGATATGTGAGCTGCTTGTGTTATTTTTCGTTTTTAGTTCTTGCTTTAATTGTTCGCATATAAAATTCAATTCATATGAGCGGTTGAACGGGCAATCGGATGCGCGCGCGCACACTTGCGATAGAAACAGACACATATCAAATGCTGGTTAATCGGACATTTTACGCAAGAATCAAACAATATCATATTCGACCCCCGAAAAAAAGATGTACAGAAAAAGACATTCGTTGAGTTTCCGCGTAGTGAACCATTTTAAATTGGACCGTTTATTGCTCCATTTATCGAAAAAATGCAATTGCATGTGTTTTTGTTATGTGCCACCGCTTGTCGCCACTGTCTTCTCGGCATGTAAATGGGAGAGAGCGAGAGGAAGAGAGTAAGTGAAAAAGGGAGCGATTTCCCCAGAATCCAAACATATTGCATCGACGGCTTTTTTCAGCTCGTCATTCACACGCGACACAAACAAACAATTGGATTGCAATGGGGTTTTTCTTTTGCATAAAAAAACTGTAGACGATACAAAATATTACTCAGCCACCACAATTGTGACCTTTTTTTTGTAGTTGACACAATCAAGTGACATTTTTTAAAATTCAAATCGACAATGTTGTAAATTACGAACTGTAATCAAGCGGTTTCTTTTTTTCATCGATTCATTTGTCGTGCCTCGAAATCGTCATTATCGCGCAATGGCCTCTCTGTGTAACAATTGCTCGGGATTACAGTTTTGAAAAACACGCGAGTATTTAAGGTGTGTTATTTCGTTCTCCAATAATCGCTTCGGATTATTAACCAGCCATTTGTAAGCATCGCACTATGCAACGTCACGAACAGCCAGTACCAGTTGAAAAAAAAAGCAATTCAAAGAATCAAAGTGCATGAAATTCCGACTCTCACAATCTTCATCTCACTCACTCGCACAATTTGTCCCTCTCGCCCAAGTTTGAATATACATTTGTCGACGTTTGACATTTGCATACGATTGTCAACACATTCTATTCGCTTCATTCGTCAGTCGCCAATATTTTCTCTTCTCTCGCACAATGTTTTTCTGAAGTTTTTACGAGCCCGAACAAATCTCATGCGAAACAAAACTCATCCGAATTATCGCTGCTTAACGCAATAATCACTCGGCCACACATATTACAATTTCGTACGAAAATGAGCATTTCGTTTGCACATTACCACACAACACACATTAATTTGCGTGTCAATTACGCTACTCAGTGCGCCGTGTTTCGAAAGTATAGTTTCATTCAATTTTTATTGTTCTGACCTTTAGGGGTTTTGGCCATTTTACACTATTTTTAGTCGTAGTTCAGCGGATACTTTTCATTTATTTCTGATTTTTATTCAAGAAAAAGTTTTATTTTTCGATTTTCACGCAAGAAAAATATAAACAAAATTAAGAAATGAATGAAATTGCGGAAAAAACCAAGAAAAACCAAGAAATCAACGGAATTGCAAGAAGAACCAATAATCTGTGTTAATTTCTTAGAATGTGCCAAAGATTAACTGCAACTGATTCACGTTCATTTTTTTTCTCGGGAATTCAAGCGCTTATCTCGTCATTGTATCATTTCGAGCAACATCTCTTCCGCCAATTTGACGTCCTAAATCATATTTCGAAGGATACTTCCACGCTTTTAAATGATTTTCGGAAGACTTTTTGTCGAAATGATTTTTTCTTTGCTCTGAACTGATTTTTGAGAGCATACCAATATAGGACAGATGTTCTGAAGTCACTTCATGTGCTTCTATGCAAATACCTACATTTTTCTCGATAATTTTTATTGAAAATTTTATGAATCTCTTTCGAATTCCGTCAGTTTTGTTCACATTTTGCTGATTTTATCTTAAATTTATTGTCAATTTTACATTTTTCAGTTCTATTCAGCAACTTTTTATTACCTTTTAACGATTTGTGCAACATTTCAACTCGTTCCAATGCGATTTTAATGATTTAAAGTAGATAGTCAATGACTTGTTTGCACTTCTTGTTCTCTTTTTTCTATTCATTAAGCAATTTTTCACAATTGCTGAATCATTTTCTCGTTTTCTTTTCGATCATTGGATTTCAATGTTATTCTCAGTGTTTTTCTCGCAAAATCCTCTGTTTTTATTACCCGAAAGCCGTTGAAAATCTCTGTCGTTTATTCTATGGAAATAGCGATAAAATGGTTGTACGAAAGCGTAATCAATCTTTTCCAAGCTCATGCATTTACGAATGGAACTCCTCGAAACGCTCCATTATCTGAAATGGACTTTGAAAAATTCAACCTCTTTCCTGTGTCCAAACAATTTGTGTAAACAAAAAAGAAGATCTCCAGGACCAATGTAAACATTCCGTTTGCCATCAGCAATTACGTAATTAAATCCGCTGAAATTGATTGGTCGATTTGATTGGAACGAAAAAAAAACTGTCATTTCCAAAAAAGAGTGCGCCATCAAAAACCCGTAGATAATCTATAGAAGCCCGTCAAAAGCGCGCTGCGAAGCGTGCGATGACGACATTGTTTGCGTTTGTCAGTGGATAAACATCAGCGAATAAATATCCAAAGCGAAAACACAGTGAAATTCATAAGCACAATGAACAGCAACAACAAGAACACGGTGCAGCGTTGCATGGATTGAACACGCTTTGTGTTGTTTCTCGTCTTGTAGTGAATGGTTTGGTTTTCAGTGTGCTTTTGAGATTGTTTTGATTTCAAAATACGCGATTTCCGTCACTTGGCATTGACATGTGCATGAATTGGCAATTTTTCGGCAACGTTCTCTCCCTTTGACTGCAGTGACTCAATTCGCGATCTCTTTCGTCGACTTCAGTTATGGATATACACAAGTTCTATTTGTTCAGTGGCAGACCACAAATCAATCAACGACCGAAAAAAACATGTAGAAAAAAAACAAACCCTTCGACGTATGACCATGGCTCTAGAAAAAAATCTGAAACTGTTCTGAAAATACCCAATTCTTGAGATCACAAACGTAAGAAAGCACAATCGCAGTGCGGTTTCAATGTATGTGTGTCTTCCCTTTGTACATCACACACACGCACAAATATATACTAGACAAAACTAACAGAGAATAAAAACCTAAATTATATAATTGCGACGAGCATAGACGCGTATTCTTCTCAATTCCATTTTAAGAGCTATTCTTTTGTGCACAAATCGCGCTTTGTTTATACAGTTTGTTTTGAACATATAGTATACATATATGCATGATGGTGATCGAGCCAGATGACTCGCTATGACTGAACACGATCGCACTCACTCCATTAGTCATTTTTTTCTTTGCTCTTCACTTGTGCAAAAATGTAAACACCGAGAAAAAACAACAATCAGTTTTATTCCGTCGACTCTGCGCTTTATCGTCGCTCGTGCATCATTCGATATTGATACGCACAATAAATTCGGTTTTATCACACTCAGACATCGACCCTTTGTTATCGCGCTATCGTGCTCTTCTTTCGGCTCTTTTGGGTCTATTGCGAAAGCTGCACTGTGATAAAACAAAAGCAGCAGTACGAGAAATTATTAGTAAATAAATGGGTGGATTCATCCGTTTCCATATTGCGTTTTAATCTAGAATTAAATTTTTTCACAGAGAAAAGCCATGTTTTACCTTGGAAATGTGTTTTTTTATTTGTAATAATAAGAGATTGGATGAAATTGCCTAGCGTTCTATTCAAATCACTTCGAAATATGGCAAAAACTGTTGTAGTTTCAAACAAATCTTCGATATCTTCAGAAAAATTCCAAATGAAAAAACTCTTCAAAATGGTCAAAACTATAAAAAAAAAAAGTTTAAATGTCTCTTGAAAATTGGCCAAACAAAAAAACTCGTCGAAAAATTCGAAATTTTATTTTAAAAAAACCGGCAACATAAGATAGTCATATAATTCGAAAAAGTCAGACAAATCACACAGTTATTTGGTTCAAATGATAACCATTCAAGAAGATAAAATAAAACGTCGCACTCATTTTACCCAAAAACCCACTCAAGAAGCGGTAGACACAGCCCAGTCGTTCAAAAAAGCCGTCAATTCAGCTTGACGTTCAAGTGTTTTGACGTTGATTTTGTAGCTCGTAAAAAAAACCAAAATCACTTAGCGATTGAATTCTAACGCAACGCAAACTCATGACTTTTTTAACTGCAGTCAAAAATTCTTCCTGTTGGCTCAGCAAAAAGATGACCCAAACAAAAACGCCGATACGGCTCGAACGAGGTGTGAAATGAAAAAAAAACGAAGTGCAAGTCTATGTAGATGTACTGATTGTGTTTGCGAAAGCGTGTTAGTGTGTTTGTGCTGTGCATATGGGACCGAAATAGATAAATTTTGTAAATTTTGTTGAAAACGAGTCCCATTTGGTTCTGTATCGTGTTTTCTATTGCACATACGTGCAAAATGAATATTGGAATTGATGGGCAATACAGGCGCACATGACATTACAAGTATTGTTTGCTCAACAACACCGCATCGGCAGAAGAACAAGGAGAAAAACACACACACACACTCATCGAATGGAAATCGATTTGTGTATGCAAGGCAAGGCGGCGTACAAAAACGGAGTAAAAATACGCGCTTCGATTGACTGATGAATGCTCATGTGAATTTGTAATTCGATCGGGTTGAAGAAAAAAAAAACAAATAGTGCTCAGCGTATTGATTTTGAGATAATCGTGACTCTTTTAAATCGATATTTTTAGACGAAAGTTCACGACGATCAATGTCGAAAGTTTAAATGAAATTGAAATTATTCAATCATCATATCATCGATTTTTTAAATAACCGACGATTAAAAGTGTGAGATAGAGAGGTGGAAAGAGACATGGAGAGATATAGATGTTATATTATAGAATGAGAAGAGCAATGGAAGAGAAGTAAAAGCAGAGAGAAAAACATAAAGTAATCAACGAAAACACGCGCGAATCAACAAATTTTTTTGTTCGAAAAAAATCAACTCTATGAAAGTTCCACTGAATTGAAATGGGAAAATGATGTGTTAAACACACTTAAGTGTGCATTGATGAGATTGCGAGTAAATCAGCTCAAAATGTGAAACTAATTCTACAATTTTACAGTGAAATAATTTGATATTTGATGTGGAATTAGCGACTTTCGTGGACTTTGATGAAAAAAAAATATTATGCTTTAACTGCTAAATTCAATGTTTTCCCACCAAATACGACAGTTTTAATTCGATTCACAAGGAAATTTGAATGAGAAGAAATAACAAGAAATGAAATATTCCAATATTGGCTCAATTTTGTGATGTTATTCTTTAAATTGGTTAATTTTGTTAACAGAATGATGGTTTAGCTGTGACATAAACTCCCATTTTCAGTTCAAATTTGTGTTAATTTGTGAAAAAAGCCAAAAAAATCACTTCGAATTAGTATTAAGTCGGCAGTTTTGATGCAACAAATGTTTTCAAACCGCAAAAAATGTCCAAAACTCCATTTCTCTCATCGATTATGTTATTTTTCTCTTTTCTCGCGACATTTTTCTCTTCACTTACATGGCCACAACGAAAATTACGAGTCTCAACCACATCGAATTGCTGAAATCTACGTTAAGCATGAATGTTTGTGCCATAAATTATGTTGAAAAGTCATAAAACGAAAGCAAGAACTTTACGAAATGGAAAAAAAAACTGTCCACATCGACAGCGTTGGCAAACAAATATTTTATCCTTACCCATAGCTCATCAATTGTGTATTTTAGTGAATAATTTGTCCAAGAAACGAAATATTCAGAAGAGACGTAACGAAAACCAAAAAAAATCTGTTTTCTGTTTTATTTTCAGGGCTATTCGAAGTGAAAGCGATGAAAAGGGAGTGAATTGCATGTGCATAGGCATCACCGGCATACAGCAGAAACGGAGACAAGAATCTGTTACAAATACGCACGAGACCACATCAAATAACTACTTAAGAGAGCAGCAAGAAAAAAAAGCCGTTTGATTTAGTGAGACAAGTGAAAAGTGACAATTGAAACTGAATAGCAGTGAACTGATTTTGTGAATTCATCGCCAAAGTGCAAAGCAAAGCGCTCGAAAATTGGTTTAAAGCAAACAAAATTACAGCACGACGTCGATTACAGGCTTCGCTATATACCAATTGGAATAAAAAAAAAACGATGTGCTGATACAGAGAGGACATGGTTGCACGGGAGTGAGTGAAACAAATCGATTCTCACTACGAACATTTGGTTTTGCCGTAGCGTAGTCGCGAGTGTGACAGAGACGTAACGATGCAACGCATGCCTCGTACTGCAACCCAAACGAAACAAAGATAGAAGAACGAAGCGAGGAAAGGAAGGAAAAAAACGTTGTTTCCGTACCCAACTGTGGTATCGTGAGTGAGTGTGTGTAGTTTTTGCATTATAGTAAGCGCTGTGATGCGTATATCGCTTTCTCATACACAAACCCACTACGTGTATGAATAGGTAGTGAGTGAGTGAGTGAGAGCATCAGTTTTTGCTCGACCGACGACGACGACGACGAAAAAAACGCTCGCTCACACAGACTCTCACCATACAAACAATTGAACAGACCTGCGAACAAAAATAATCAGTGAAATAACAAGCACACTCGTGAACTCTTGTCGTGTATTTCTTTTTCTCTGTTACTTTTCACATAACCAATTCAATGGAATTTCTTTTCTTCAGTTGAGTTTTGAAAAATTGGAAAAAAAATAGTTTTTAAAAGAAGAATATTCTTTTGGTTTTTTGATAATCGCGTGTGTTTGTGCGTATTTAGCTCATTGATAAACCAAACGGTTGCAACATACTGATTTCAACAGGAAAGTGCTCACACATAAAAAATCGTTCACGAATCGAAGCAACGCAACTCATCACTGTTTTGTGGTTGTTTCGATGATTAACCACTCTATGAAGGTAAATATTCTCGTTTTTTGTTGTTGTTGTTGTTCATTTCGAGTGTAAGAGAAATTACGGTTCTGTGCTATACGAAAATTGTGCTAGGGCAAACAGAGACAATACACGCGTTTCAGATGAGAGCAAAAACACAGATTGTGCTAAGAATGCATAATTGTTCAGCCACTCAAGCGTTAAAATTATTCTTTTCATGGAGATGAGACGTCTTTTTCGGAAATTGAATGCTAATTTTGAAGATTCAACGCAAAACTAAGTGAATTAGACATGAAAAACAACTCGTCATTTCGTATAAAATCTTTGAAACTTCTGAATTTGATAGAAGAACTGTGAATTGTTTTAATTAGACGTAAAAAAAAAACTGCAAAATTTAGTGTTTTAGACATGATCTGTAGAACTAGAGCAGAGAAAATGAAGAAAAAACCGAAAATACGGTATAAAAACTATTTGTTCATAATCAAAAATTGGCAAATTGGTCCAAATGTTCACATTTATTGGTTTAACATGAACAATACACTTCAATTTCATGTTTTTCATTCTTTTTTCAAGTCAAGAATAAGCAAAAAAATGCGCATTCGTTATCATAATTCAGAATAAACATTGAAAACTGCTCAGACTGCCGTCTGAAAGGTGTCAAAATTGAACAAAAACAAGAAGAATTGATGAAATTCTCAATAAAAACTCGATAAATTCCATGTGAACAGCCGCTAATTTCCATGTGAAATGAACAAATTGGCCTCTTTCCCGCTCGAATTATTCTAAAATTGGAGAAGTAATGAGTCAGACAAATCGATTTTTTTTATAGTTTTCAATTGACTTTTGCTTTCTAGTTGACAGTCGGTGTATTTTTAAATCGAATTTGATGATTTGATAGAGCGTTATTATCGGGCATTTTTGTTGTCATTTATTTTGGGATCAAGTTTTTCTTCCGGCTTAGGAAATATGCTCTATTTGCTCAATAAAGAATAATTATTCAATCGATGCTTCATTCTGAATTAAAACCGCATTTCTAAGGACATTAACAGTACTTTAGCATCAATCTCGCTTTTTGTCCATAATACCACCTGAAATTTATTTTCACACTCCGAATATTGACCTAAAACCTGGAACAGTTGCATTAATCACACATTATCTCTCCCATTTCCATTCGAACAGTCCAAATGTGGGGAAAACAGTGGCAATGGCACCCGCATTAACCGAACCAGTTAGTCATCGTCAGTCAAAAATATCATCACCAGCCCAAGCCTCATCACCGCGCCCAATCATAAGTGACGTTAGCGAACAAACGCAAACCACCACCGCCACAAATCCTCATCATCGTTTGGCTCTGCAGACAAACGGTGGAGGAGTTGCAATTGGTAATAGCTTTGCAGCCACAAAAGACGTGCAAACAACCATACAAATCGATAATAATCAATTAGACGAGCAACTATTACAACAATCACCGAAGAAGAGCAGCCAATTCAAAGCTGATCATTTCATTGCACCAGATTTCCAGTCGACATTCACCCAGCATATACAAACATCGAATGGGTGAGTATAACACGCCGAATTTTGTTAAAATTCGAGATTTTTGTTTGGAGAATTTAAATTCTAAAATTGAACGAAAAGAAAATGAGAGAAAATGGACAAAAAATGTTGAAAAAAAGAGAATAAATAGGAAATAAACAAATCAAAATGTAAACCAATTACCAGATACAATCGAATAAAAACTGACTCTTGAAAAATCAAGAAACAAACAGCTCAACACATAAAAATAACAAATTCGAAACTGAGCATAACATTTCGATTATTCTCGCAGGCCGAGCATTGGTCCATCGTTTGTCACGCACATGGATCAACCAAATAATGACCAGTCCATTGTCACCGACCAGTTTCAACAGCATCAGAATGCTGACAATGACCTCCTCAATGCGATCGTTCAAGGGACACAGGGAAACAATCAGCTCGATTGTGGCATCAATCCCATCGACAGCAACATACAGTAAGTGGAAGCAACAAATTCAGAGCAGTTTATTCGTGAATAAAATAAAGTTATTCATCAATGAATGAATGCTATTTCCCAGTTTTCCACTTGAAAACTTGAACCAACTCATTGTTTCTCATTTCGAAAACAGAGCGACCGTGGAGCAGTTGTTCGCCGAAACGCATCAGCAGGAGTTTCAGCAGTTGTTGCAGCAGCAGTCGCATGATTCCAGCCAGCAATTGGATCAGCAGCTCACTTTTGCATTGCAACAAACACAGTTCCAGACGTCACAGCCCATGGACTTGTTGATGTCTGGCGATCAATCGCAACAAGCATCGAGTATGCCGACACGAGTCGACGATGGCAGTACAATGAATGCCAACACAATGAACTCATGCCAGAATGCCATGTCCAACCAAATGCAGTCTGAAATGGATCAAATGCTCGACATCGATTTTATGCAAGTGTTGAAATGCTTCGAATCCGCACCGGCCGGCGAAAATCTGGGCGATTTAGCCGGTGGTCTGTCACTATTCAACGACATGGATGTTATGAATATCGGTGAGTCTTTTTCAATCAATTCTTTGATTCTTGTTCCTTTTTGGCTTTTAACCAAAAAAAATCTCCACTGTTTTTCCAGGTTTCGAAGATGTATCAACGACGAGCATGTCGCGCGAGTCTCGAACGCAGGAAATGTTGAGCGAGATTGAAAAGAAGCGCGAGAAAATGATTCGAGATTGTGATTTCATGATGCGACGCTTGCGTAAAATTCAGGCACGCCACATGGGCCGTCACGTGAGTGAAGAGGTCGGTGGCTTGTTCGAGTACACACAACAATTGATTAAGAGAAAAGAGCGCGAAACCAAATCCATTTCGACAATGACGCCAATCAATCAGTTGCACAGCGATAAACACAAACTCAACTCAGCCACATCATGGAAAATGTTGCTGAAACGAATCGAACATGCGGCTGGCAGTCAACACTCGAATACATCGAGCAGCAAGATTTTGGGCGGCAGTTCAACGGCTGACCATCATGCGATTAGTTCGGGAGTATCGACGACGGGTACCGGAGCGGCAGCCAAGCCATCAGTGATTACATGTGTGCCTCCATTCGATGCAAACGGCATTCAGCAACTGAAACAGTGTGCCGGTTTGTTAAATGCCGAGCTCAAATTGGTCGGCAAATCATTCGATTCGGATGCAACGGAAAGGTACGATTTTCAATTCATAGATATTTTGATGAGGGAATCAATAATAGGCATGATTCATCGATTTTTTTTTTTAGCTAAATTTGAATAGTGCAATTTATTCTCACGTTTTTTCTTCGATTTTAAATTGCAGTAGTTCTGGTGGCGAATCAGCTGACGAGGGAATCACATACAATAACCCAACTCAACAACCATTATCCATGTAAGTTCCGGTGAAAATGGGCGTTTTCCCATTGTTTACCTAACTAAGAGATTGTTGGTAGATTTTCACACTAAAATGAACAATTGAATCGATTCGAATTGATTTTTGTTCATTCAATTGAAAAATTCTTCTTTTTAATCGAGAAAACGAAATTATTGATCGATTTTTCTTCGTTTAATTTGCAGTACAAAACGAGCTGCGTATCGATGGGCACGTGATCGAGCAAAGATCGCCTCACGATGGACATGGCTCTTGGCACAAATCTCCGATTTGGAATACCGAATTCGACAACATCAAGAATTGTATATTCTCTTGAAGAAGAGCAATGGTTAGTTTTGGCCACAGAAAATTGAGTTTTTATTGAATTAAAAAAATTACATGGAAAAATGGATTGATGCAAAAAAAATTGAGTCACCTATTTTTAAGAAGAATTATTTTTAAAAAAAAATTTCTTCAAAATGAAGTTGGATTTACGAATAGAAATGTGAAATTTTGTCTAATAAACTTGAATGAACTTCGTGTTTTAGGTCAAGTGACGTTCGAAGACGGAGAGCCAGTGGCATCGACCAGTGCGTCGTCAGAATCGACTCAACCGCTATCGGTCAATGGTTACCGAGGACTTTTACCTGGAAGCATTCGACTGGATGGTTTGGAGGATGTCACATCGAAATTGTATGGCAACAACAACGAAGAAGTGGAACTGAATGGCTCGGCTCGGACCAGAGCATTCAAAGCTAGCGCATTCAAAAAGCGAAAACTTTTACAAAGTACAAATCTACACAAAATATCGAGGCGCGCTGCGAGACCATGGTAAGCCACATTCAGTTCAATTGAATTGTTATTGAAAAAAAAAAAATTGGCAGGAAAAACCAATACTTTTTGTTTTCAAAAATGTAATTAACTAAAACTAAAATTGAATGAAGATAGGAAAGAAAGAGAGAAAATTCAGCAATAATTAAAAATGATTCTAATTTTTATTTTAAATTTTCTGTCTATTTTCAGTACAATCAAATGTGGTTGTCGGTGGCCAGTGCATCCGTGCCTATTGTGTACGGGTCGAACCGATCCGACTGCACCACGTGATCTACCAGATATGATGTCAACTCAGGAGAGTGTCGCACTTTTGGATCCATGCTATCATCCGATACTTAGCTTCCCTGAAGGTTTGTTCATCTAATTTGCTCTTTGTTTAATGGCAATTCTTTCAAAGATCTCGATGAAGAGGTAGAAATTAAAATTATTTTTGCAATCTCAGATGTGGCACAAAATATTTACATGGAGGCGACACTGCGTCAGCCGGAGTGGCAAACAAAAGTGGCTCGAGCATCATCGAAAGCGGTCATTAAAAGTGCGCTAGCACTTCAGAAAGCCAGCGAACGTGATGAGAATCGAAGCCTAGCTGCAACTGGTGTTGCATCGCGCAAGAACTCTGACTCAACGCATTCAACGATCAATTCGAAGAAAATGTCGCCGAAGAAATTCAAATTAGTTGCAACCAGTTCGTACCTTTTCTTATTTATTCATGAATTTCCCGTTTTCTTTTATTTGTTCATTTAAAAAAAATCGTCATCATTGTCCTCATTAATTTTTGGTTTTCATGTTTTTTCATTGTTCCCAAATGATTGATTCGAAATGTATTTGTTGTTTTAATGATGTTTTTAATTTGAAATTTTACGTTGAACTTATGCATTCAATTCATACGTTCAATGATTTAAAGTACTTTCGACTGATTCCCACGTTTTTCATTCGTACAGAGTTGAAGAAATCGCAGAACAACGCCGCTAACAACAATCGAAAGATGAAGAAATCGTCGCATGCACCGAAGGTGAAGAAGAACATGTCTCGGAAAAATTCACACATGTCAGCCACTAGTTCCGATCATCATGACATGGACGTTGGCAGCCCGAACGGGTCTGTATCACGCAGCAAAAATCCATCACCGATTCCGGGACACAGCTATCGAAACTATGAACGGTATTGATTATTTTCTTGAAATTTTTTCTTTCCATATTTTGAATGACTAATTCACAATTTGTCCCATCGATTAGATTTCATTCGGAGCGACGTCACAACAAAAACGCTTACGACATCGATAATATTGTGATCCCCAGCACCGTATCGTCACGCGTCGAAATCCTTTCTTACAAAGAAATCCCAACGCCGAAGTAAGTTTTCACAGTTTCATCCCATAATTTTACGGCTTTTGTTGTTTTTTATCTTCAGTTTTTTTTTTTCATTTTTTGGCGACAATTAAACACGTTTTATGTTTGTATTTCGAAATTTTTACGCGTTGGTTTTTAAGAAAATCAAAATCCTAATTGTCATTTTTTGAAAATTTATAATTTTTGGCGTTATGTTAACGTTTTATAGTTAGAATTACATTGTTAATGGCAGAGAGTGACGTGGCACAAGCGATTTTGGAGTTTTAAAGCTATTGTGGATAGGGAAAAATAATTTTAAAAAAATAAGAAATAATAAGAATGAAGAAGGAGATAGAAAGAGTTCATTTCAATTTCAAAGATCATTCATGTGAATAACTTGCAAGAGTATAAACTATAAATAGAAAAAGTCTTTGAAAAGACGGCTTTCACGTGATAAATCCAACAACCAACAATAAAGAAATGAGTACGCAGAAATGATAAAGAAATGATTCAATGAAAAGAGATAAACAAGAAGTTGAAATAGGTGCGCGTGTGTTGAGTCACGATTTCACACTCTGACCAAACGATTAAGCTAATTGCTAAGTTGCGCTTAACGCATTTGAATGTATCACCGTTAGTTAGACGAGCATTTTCGACTTTTGGGCAATTGTTTACATTACATTACAGACATTCTCATTCATATTTAAAATTGCACCTACCATTAAACTGGACAATAGCTCCAAGTGATCAGTTCAAAATCTCGACAAAAAACAACATTTTAGTTTTTTTAATTTGTAAACAGAAAAACCAATGATTTAATTGATTTATTGAAATGAAACAGCAAAGAAGAAATTCATAAAATAAATTTTATTATTATTTTAAAGAAACTCATAGTCAAAAAGAATTTGACTCTTTGAAAAATTACCCAAATTGCTGAAAATAAAACAGAACAAAATTATTTAATTGATTAAATAATTTTTTCAAAAATAAATTCGAATTAATTTGAAGTAATCTCTAGCTAACCAGTGTTTTTACGTTCAAATGCATAAATATTAATTGAATCTAATTCATTTGTTAATAATAATTTTAATTCAGAATTATGAAAGCTCATCATTAAATTGAAATCTAAAAAAACCTCAAAGAAAAATCTAATTACTATAATAAATAATTATTCACCAAAATTTAACAAATAATGAACAATTGAAATGCAAATATAAAATTCATCGACTAAAACCAAAAATATTTGAAATTGAAAGCAAAAAAATATGATTGAAATAAATCACAAAAACATCATTTTATTTGAATTAAATTGAATTTCGTTGGCAGAATTTCCTGTTGATCAATAAATTTAAAAAGAATTGATTTTTTGTAGAATTGTTCATCTTTTTCAACTTTTCTCAATTTCAACCATTTCCCAATATCATATTTCATTTTTAAAAAAATTGAACAAAATTAATCTGATCATTTCGTTTGGAAACGACTGAAATTGGAAAATTTTCAGAAAAAAATTCCAAATCATTTATGAATCGTTTCATTTCAAATATCCCAGTGAAAAATAATTTCTATTTATATTAAAATAAATATTTCAACCGGAAAAATCTCAAAAATTTGTGAGAATTATATGAAAAAATCTTTTTTTCGTTCAAATTAAAGAGCAAAAATTTTAAAAATGAAAAAATGTATCCAAATCAAAGGATGATATGTAAATACATACAAACCACACAAGAAAAAAAAACTTATAATAACATTAGACATAAAATGCAGTAGTCTATTTTGATTATAACGATTAAGAAAAATTGTCGTAAAAAATTGTTAATCTTGCGAGTGTTTTTGTTTTGTGTGTAAAAATGTTTGCGGAGAGTTCATCTGAAGGAAATTTTTTTTACAAAATAAAACCAAGCGATTGAGAACACGCTTTAGCAACATACGAACATTTGTGCAAGTTTTCAGTTCAAAGAGCCTAAGTGTATCCTGCTTTTGTTCTGCGAACGTGTTATTGCAACATTTCCAGCTACAACGAATTATTTTTTTTTAATTTCTTTTTATTTCAGCTTTTTTCTTGCGAACACGCAAAATTCGATTGGTTCCGCTTAATAAGCGCCCATTTATTTGGTCGAGTTAAATTTTGACTCGATTCATTTTTTGAAAACAAGATTTAATCTTGAATATTTCACTGCTGATTAATACGCAGCAATTGAAATTGGCATGTCAATTCGATTCATAGAATCTCATGCAACCGCTCAATTTGGTCATTTTAATTTGATTTGTTTGTCTTAGGCTAAGATTTAGATTAAGTTTTATCAACAAATAATTTTATTCAATTTTTTTTGGGTGAAGAAAATGGAAACTAATGAAAATTTGACCTATTCTAGATGGCGCGTTATCGAAGATGATGCTGAAAATGTAAACACTGCTAGTCACGAGGAGCCGGAGGAGGTAATTAGAATATTTTGAATTTTGGAGTATTTTAGAATTCGAGAATGTATCAGTACAAATTCACTAATGGAATTTGAAAATTTTAGGAGGAGAATTTCTCGTCTGATTTTGAATTATGTTTAAATCGAAATTAAATTGAGTTCCAAATGACTAAATTTTTTTTTCATTCGCAGGAGCCAAAACCCGTTGAACCAGTGGAGGTTCCGAGTACGTCTAACGATGAAGACATCAGTAATGAGGCGTATGCACAACGCCACGAACGAGCACTGGCCGATGAGCGAAAGAAGTTCACAACCTTCTTGAAATTCCCATATAGCACACGATCACGGGCCAATCGTCGCATCGATAGCCAATCGAGTGGCGCAAACACACCGGACCCAATGTCACCGGCACCCAGCACACCAGCTGCTGCCATCAATATCGATCAAGAGGTTCGTTTCAAATTGAATTTTGAAACTTTCAAATAAATCCGTGCACATTTTGTTTGAGTTCATTGACGATTACAATTAGAAACTATTTAGTATGAATTATAAACAACCAGCTCGGCGTTTGAAGTCCTAATTAAATTAAGTAATTATAAATTTGTCAATCTAAGGATATTTTTTCTGTCCATTTTTCCATATTTTTTTTCATTGTATTCGACGTTTGAAGTGAATCGTTTAGCTGGTGACATTAGCTCGGTTTAGTTCATATTGAATTTTCTGTATAATTTACTGAATTAGTCTTTTATTTTGTGCCATAGTCACATATTTTACTAATCCACTCATTTTATTCCACAGTCCGCGCCGCCAACGCCGCAATCCGTTGATGCGCCTGGAGATTCGACACAAGAAAGTGGTGAGTAAAATAAAAAAAAATCGTGTTTTCTACACGATTATGGCTTAATGTTCATTTTCAACTGTTAATCAAAGCCTCAGGCTCAATTGAATGGAATTTGAATGGAGCATTGAATGTAAAAATAAAACTTGCAAAAAAATGAAATTTAAAATGCAATGAAGGAAAAAAACAGAGATTAAATATATATAGAGATTGGATTGAAAATGGCCATTTTCCTGTGAGAGTAAAACTAAATCGTCTTTCATTTGGTGTTCAACAGGAAAGCACAACAACAACAATATCACCAGTGCGAATAACAATGGCATAAACCCGATACCAGTATCAAAACTGAAGCATGAACGTCGTCGGACGGTTTCGTTCCGCAAAGGCATAGATCCTCGTGAAGAGCTTCTTCGCCGCAGTACTACACCGGATGTTAAAGAGGTAATTCAAAGGATTATTTTACGAGAAGAAAATTCGAAATTTCTTCGAGATTTTTTGGTTAAAGTGGAACTGATTTGAGTTTTTTTCTAATTCCATACTCTGGAATGAATCGGCTGAATATTCAAAATTTCTTCATTGAACTTAAACGTCGACACTGATTTAATTTTAAAAAGTAATAAATCAACCGATAAACCACTGACCCCGTTCATTCTATTTCTCCTTCCAGCTGATACCACCGTACGAGCCGTTAAGTTTCCCATTGCCGGGCGACACGCTAGAGCAGATGATTCAAAGTATGCCGACAAGCTACAAAGAAATCATCAACAGTTGCATAGATCAAGTGGCGGGTGTGAAATTTCAAATGCAAACGTCAACCACAGACTCAATTCCGACGCCGACCACAATGCTAGCGCCCAACTGTAAAAGTCGCCAAACGACACAGCAATATTCGGATCTAACTATGTTAGCAGAAGATAGTGATGAAACGGAATCCATGCAAGAAGATGCAAATGATCCGGAGTGGAACTTTGAGCCGCCACATAGGATTCAGAAAACACAATAAACATCTGGTCATTCTCGAACGTTTTAGATAACAGAGAAAATCAAATGATTGTCGTTGCATTTATCATTGAAAAAATTACATAAATTTACAAGATTCTATCTGATGTTAACGTAATTCTTTTGTTTATTTAAATGCGCTAGGGGAGAGTAGTAAATTGTGAAACACCTATCGAAATCGATTGAAAATGAAGAAAAATTAATAGAAATGGTTAAATAAATGCTTTGAAATGACAAAAAAAAAAGATTTTTTCAATGAAAAAATTCTGAACATTTTCAATTTTGATCAATCGGAAGTAGTCAAATAGGGCATTTTGAATGAATAGCTCAATCGCGCAAAATACATGTAATATTGTTTCACAATTTTGCATTAAACTGATAAATATGCATATTAATTGAGAAATTGACTTGAAATAATTAAAAATGACGTTGACAAATTTCAAGGGTTTTTCATAATTCCTCACTCGCTAAAGTTTTCAACATAGCGTCGTATGCGTCACTCAACGAATGTTCATGAGCGTACCATACGTGCACATGCGTCGAGTGATAATGGGAAAATAGGCTCATACTTAAAAAACATTAAAACAGTTGTCTGTGTTTATCAAATATTTCAAATCGCTAAGAAAACGAAGTATTTCACAATTCCTCACTCTCCCCTACTACGTTTGCTGAAGCTCTGTAGTGAGTTTCTTCAAGCATTTTTTGTATATAGATTTCTATTTGTTAACTAAAAACATAATTTAGTGAAGACAAAACAGATACAACATCAACAACCAATTTAAAGTTGAAATTTCAAGTAATCGAATAATTTCTTCTTTGTTTTCATGTAAGCATAAGTTGGTTGTAGCAAATAATGAAAAAAAAGACCGTTGATTTTAAGCTAGAGCTCCCTGTATTTGGCATTTTAGTCCAAAATAGCAAAAGAAACACTTTAATAAAGAGAAGAAAATAAACCATTCAGGAAAAGTTAACTATTAGAATATATGTAGAAATCGTCCAGAGACGATATCAAATAATCAGATGATACATTTAGCATTAATTTACACACCCCCTCTGAAACGTATAATAGCCCAATCGACAGCTTGTACATAAACCACATTCGATTGACACATTTTACCGAATTGATAATAATAATAAATTACGCCTGGCTTCTTCTTTTTCATAGCATTACAACACATTTTATTAGTATTACGTATAGAAATAGACTTTTCTTTGGGTTTAACTTTGGAAAATTAAACAACAACAAAAAAAAACCAACAATAAAATTGAGGAAAAAAAACAACTGAAAAGAAAAAAAATATTAAACAAACATAAAAAAATATTATTTTAGTCATATTCGATTTGTATAACATGTATATAAAATTTAGCCTGTAGATGATCACCGACTTCGAAGAGGAAGAAGCAAGCAAAAGAGTGCAAGATGAAAATAAACACCATGAAAAGGAACAAACTGAAAAAAGAACGTTTTGAATGCATTTTCTTTCATTTGTTTGATATTTTGCTCTTGTTTTATGCCTTTTTTTTAGCGGAGAAATACAATTTTGGAATGGGAAAAGATGAAAGTAAGCTTTTTGAAATCGATTTTAATTAGAAGCGGTTTTGCATGATAAGAGGTATGTATTGTGGTCATGAGCAATGGCATGGATCTTCGAAAAATACCATGACATAGATTAAAAAACACCTACAAAATTGGCCAATGCTCAAATTGACCAAAATATGCAAATTTGCCATTGTTGTCCGTTTGCAAAACGAATGATATGAAAGAATAACAATGCCACTGAGCAATGCTTTGCAAAAGCGTCCAACGTGCCAATAGCTACTTTCATCCATAGGTGCTGCTATGGAATTCAACCGTTTCACATCAATTTTTTCTCTTTATTTTTGTCTTTGGCAATATTTGTCTATGTAGTGTGATTGTAAAGTTATAAACAAAAATGTCCACGAAAACGAAAATTTGACAAAATTAATTATTTACTTTCTGTGTTAGACAAATCTTTGACACTTTTGAACAATGGATTTGATTGTTCCCTGATTTATATCTATTGCATTTCCTGACTAAACAGTAAACAATGAGAAATCCAGGATTATGAATAATTTTTTAATTTCCTATGGCTAAAAACCAACCAAGTACCAGTACTCTCAGTCCTGGGAAAAATTAATGCATTAGAGGGTTAACCTTTTAACTGTGTTAAGGAGCTTTTTCGCCGCTGAGTTTAAAAAAATAAAATAACTTTTTTTTTGAAAAGATCCAAAAACATATGTATTTTATTAAGTTTATCAAGCTCTTTCTAGGTTTATGCATAATGTTGAACTTTTGTTTAAGCTCTACTCAAGAGTCGTTTTTAGCACTACATGGTATGTAGTATACATGGAATATAGGCTATTGTATTTGTTTTTTTTTTCTCGAGAAAATTTTAAGACTCTTTAGGCCATTTTTTTGGACCGAAAATTTATTCTTTTCTCTATCCAAAGTTCTAATTTGAAATAAAGCAATTACGTCTTATTACAAAAAGATAATAATGTCATGTTCATGTAATTCATGTTTGAGATAACTCGAAAGAAAAATTCATATTATTTTAATTCTCAATGTGAAATAATGTACAATCCACGTTCACATTATCGTACCCAAAACCCACTATTAAAGATTACAATATAATATATAGAATTATAATTTTATTCAATTGATTGATTTATTATTATTTATAATATCAATATTATTAATAATTTTTGTTTTATTGGTACTTGTGAAAGTTCAAGTTTTTTTCCCTTCTTGACTGAATTACGTAAATTAACAATTTCCACCTTAGATTTCAACATCTTCAGAAAAAATAGAGTCCGAATCGAACATACTTGATATTAATTCTAATAATTTTCATAAAATAAAGAAATGTATGCTTCGATGAATAATTTGATGGGAACTTTATTTAATTTTAAATAACATAAAGAACGCAGAGAGGAGCGAAGCGATGATGTGCGGTCTTGTTTGTAGTGCAAGTGTCTGAAAACAAAACAAAAAACATTTGATTTTTTGAGTAATTGTAAAGCTATCAAAGTGTAATGTGAACAAATTAAAATTAATGATCGTAATTTGTCAAATTACCTTTATATTAGCAACATCCGTGCTCCACCTGATGATAGTGGCCAAAGTATTGGCCATTGAATTCGACCACTACAATTGAGCCTTTGCAACGGCGATTGACACTTTTGCCTACGTTCCTGGCGTTACAGCCGCACACAACATAGTTACTGTTTTCTTTCCTGCAAAATAACATAAAATAGAAAATCATGAAAAAAACAAGCAAAACAAAACTATATATTCTATATTGAAATAGTGAATGAAATGTATGCGACCGCTATCCATTTTGCAACACATTTTCTTGTGTTTCTCTTCCAATCGATAAAACAAAAACGGTTTTTATAAACAAGATGAAGAAGGTTTTTTTTTATTACTTACTGTAATGTATACACACAGATGTCCAACGAATTGACAAATTGGAAGTGAACTCTATCACTTGTTTCCAAAAGTTTATATCCTAAGAGATGAATTAAAGTGTGTTAAAAAAAGCACTCGAAAATGACGATGATATTAGTGAATATTAACAACAATTACCTAATTCGTTCGGATCTCTGGTGACTTCCCATCGTTCATCGATGCGGTGACCGTCGAATCCCGTGATGTATGGTGCACGGGGCGACGGACTCCGACTTTTTGACGAAATCCGATCGTCATTAGCTGTGATAAAATGCAAATTTTGAATGATTATAGTCTTTAATCTTAATAATAGAAATGCGTTTATACCGTTTAAGCTTTCGATTCACACATAATTGGAAGAAACATTCATTTGAATAAAACAATACAAATGCTCTATCTCAAACCATATCTATGCGGAAATTTTTAGAATTTAAAGCTTAAATGGTACAATAAAACCGGCAGAACATTCAGCGTGCAGCGTGAAATTTCATAAACTATATATGTTTAAAAGAAAAGATAAATTAAGAGCAACTAACCAGCCAATCGTCCAGTTGGCCGCGAAATTCTGGGCGTGCCAGCGGAAGTTGTTGGCTGAGCCGCAGTTGATGGCAGTGCATTCGGCGGCGTCATACTTGTCCGGCTGATGGGCGGAACAACCAATGGACGCTGGAGCTGCTGAATTTTAGCTTTCAAGCTAACGTTCTGCTGCTCTGAGTCCTTTTGAAATTAGAAGAAATCGAAAAATGTTAGAGAAAATATGAAATCATTTCCATTC